CACATTTTTAAGGTAATGAAATATTTACAGAAAATGTTTTTTTTTTAGTTGTTTGCTTCAAAGGTTGTGTTTATTTCTTTTCACTTCAAAAATCAGCAAAATATATAACTTGGCCAGGGGTGCCTAAACATTTACACACAGCTGTATGTATGGATGCATATCTGTGTGTGAACAGAGGGGAGGCTGAATGCTGTTTCGCTGCTGATGTGCACGCATGAGTGCGTGTTTCTGCATGTGTTAGTGTGTTTCTGTGACACTGTGTGTGTTAGTGTGTTTCTGTGACACTGTGTGTCACAGAATCTTCCCAGCTCCAGCATTACGGTCAGCTTTTCTGTGTAATTGAACAGTCTGATCCATTTTCCAAGGCCACACAGCTGATGAAACCTTTGATTAGAGAAACATCAGAGCCCAGCTGCCTCTCACTGTGTGGGGGAGGAGGTGAGGGTCACTAAAAAAAGCTCCTCTGTGTTTACCTCACATACACTTGCACTACGCTGTGGGCTCATGCCCACAAAAATCCAGCATTTCAGATATATTAGACGAAAAACATGATCATTGAATCTACGTTGCTGTAGTATGTGTTCAGCTGTGTTGCCCATTAGTTAAGGAATTATTCATTCTCGTTTCTAGGCACAATTAAAAGAAAATACTAAAATCAAAATTGTTAGTTGCTAATACTAAAAATCGTGGTAAAAATGAGTTCTCCCAAAATTATATAAAACAAAGTCTCAGAAATCAGGCAACAAATTCATAACAACTTCCTGTAATAATTTGCTGTGAGGGAGCTTTTAGTTTCATCAACTGCTTTAGACATCTGGTTCTAATCACCACCAGTGTGACCAGTTTATAGCAGCAGTTGCTATAAAAAAAGAATGTGTTTGTGGGAGGAGCATGGACAGGTCAATGACCTGACCACGTTTCCTCATAGTAGGGCAACTAATAATAATTCCTGTAGTAGCAATAAACGGGTAAATGTGAATTTGCATAATGTATCCCACTTATCCTGTCTGTAGGTAGAGGTGAAATGGAGGAGGTTCAATTGCTGACGTTCAGATCTGCTAAACATAGACCATCGCAGAAGGACTTTCGTGAAGAGCGGCAACATCCATTCCTTACTTGTGGATTTTCCATGGTAACAGGGCAACACTGTCTCTCTGTCTCCCCCTCTCTCGCTCTCTCTCTTTTACACACACACACACACACACACACGCACACACACACCACACACACACACACACACAAACAAAGACACAGTCACTTTAACATCAGCACAGCACAAAAACAGCACAGACCTCAGTGAGTTACATCAGTTACCAGTGGTTGGTGCACAATGCTGCTGGGTTTCAGTTTCTCAAAGAGATTAGAGGATATTCCAGTTTTCATTTTCGATTGGCTTAATTTTGAGATCCAGCCGTCTGAGGAGCCCACAGTTGTTGAGTGTTAGTAGAAGGTTTGAAAAGTCAGAGAATTTATTACACTCTGAAGTAATACACTCTAGAGAAGCCAGCTTCTCTAGAGTCTTACACTCTAGAGAAGCCAGAGACATTTTGTAAGCATGTGCTGTGAACTGATAAGTAAAAGCTGAACATTTTGGCAACAACAAAGGAACAGCATTTGATGAAAAGAACGGCTGGCAGCATCATACAACACAACTGACGTTACAAAAATGATCTCTGGCAAGTTGTTTGCAGTTACATATTTCCACCAGAGAAGGCCAACAATCCCAAACACACATAGATAATTCAGCCTTTGAATTAAAATTTTAATCACATTTATGCTTCAAGTCAAGAGGGTATAGTCCCTTATGTGCTTCCTGGCATTTTTGCATTAGATAGAAAAAATGTGAGTTGTGAGTGTAATATTGACTAACATGACATTTAAATGCCATATTTAAGTTTAACTTTTACCAAGGGAAGATGAGTTATGCTAAATGTAGGAAGCACAGGAAGTTTCCAGGGAGGAGATGGTGCGCATTGATCTTACTGCAACAGACAATGTTTTTTTTATTGGCCTCATGCTCGTCTTCCCTGCAGTAGGGGTTGAGTCTCCCACAGAAACTGTCCCTTCTTTGATGGAATTTGCCTGGAAGCCTGCCTTGCTTGGAGCACTGAAAAAGAATTGCATGCTGGGGGTTTCTTTGCCCACATCTGTGAGGGCTTGTAATTTCCTTTATTTCAGAAAATGTCATTTATGAACCATTTGTGCTCTCAATATGACCATTTTTATGCTGTGCAGTGCCTGCTGGTTGCCCTATTGATCTATGTGTATCCATGTGACAGAAATATGAAGCAAGATAAAAAAAAACCTACCTAAAATCTGTTAACTGTGCTTCCTCAAAGGCAAGTAAATGAAAGGTGGGCACACTCTCAAGAGCTTTTGGAAATATGGAAGGAATGATGGCATCTACTGTTGTCTACTTTGGCAACCAAGTCAACTGTAGATTCTTTGGTGAATCGGTGGCTCTGCAGTAACTGGGGTGTCTGTGAAAGTGTGCTAAATTTATTGACTATTGCTTTTCATTAATGCCAAGAATAACAATGCAGGCAATACAAATTATGAATTCAGTCAGAGCTCTCACACAGTTCTGCTAGTTCTCACAGTTCTCAAATTTAGCCTAATGACTGAAATCCTTTAAAACTTTAACATATAAACTCAAGGAATAATGATCAGTTAAGAAGGTTGACTGGACATTTGAAAATTTTAATTCAAGGGCATCGCTAGGCCAGTTTTAGGGGGGCTTAAGCAATCCTCTGCTGTTTAGCACTGTGGAAAAGTGTAACGTAAGCTCAGCCAATCATATCAGACCTCGGAAGTTATAAGCCAATCATATCAGACATCGTAAGTTGTAACCCAGTCATTTCAGACCAGGTGAAGGGTCTCTGGTGCCACTCACTCTGCAAAGTAACATCAGGCAACAACTGTGACAGGGTTTTAGCTAAAAGCGAACTAAAATAAAGATTATTCAAAATATATAATACACAATATGATTCAGTAAGAAGTTAGAGATGAAAATATCTACAATATGGATTTTTGTGGTCAGTATAGCTGACGATCAATTTATAGCTGGTTGCTTCTTAACTAACTGAAAGGGGATAGGCCATAATGCACAAACCTTTGCTAGCTGAAAAGTCTAAAACTATTTTTAAAAAATGTAAGAAACTTCACAGTTAATGAGAGTATGAATGAGTGAAAGAGATAGAAATAACATTACTGACAGCTCTTAATATTATTTGTTTTCATACCAGTATTCGACCCAGTGCTGGTATTTTAAAATGATCACATCAGTGTTAGCCATTTATTGATTTTACAAGACGCTAATGTCAGTGAAAAGGCCATATAGTAATTTGATCGTAATGCAGTTTTATATCCCTGTAGATGGAAATGAAGAAGCTCTGTAGAAAGACAGTCAGATCAGAAGATTGAAGATCAGTTAAAATGAATACTGGATTTGTAGAAATATTATTCCATTATTATGTCATGAAGGTCTAAATAAAATAATTTAAATGACATAGTATATTTTTTTGTGCTGTCAAATGTCACTATGACCATGTCGCAGAGACTATTAGACATAAGCACAACTTCAACTATTTGAATAATATATTTAGGAGCTGCAGCTTATCTAAGAGAGAGGACAAGTTTTGTGTAACTTTTTTGTGTAATAAGTTTGTTTGATCTGTGCTTGTTGTTAGTGGACAGATATAATGTTTAAGTCATCCTGGATCCATGCTTAATAAAAGCTCCAGAGAGAAAGATCTACAGTGTGCCAATTTGAACATAGTCATCTTTTGAACAACTGTCAGCCTATTGCTAATCTAAAAGTTTATAGTGAACAGACTTTTGGGGCCATCGATAAACATCTTTCTGGGTGAGCATTCCCCAGACCCCCTTAGTAAAGGCTTAGCCCCCTCTCCATCAATCTCTATTGATGCCTCTGTTCAAACTCATGAAGATGGGGATGGTATATGTAAATTAAAAGGGTGTGTATCCAACCTTGTTATACTGTCCTCCAGCAGAGGGTGTTGTTGAGTTGTATTTCAATTAACTTCTTTTCACACCAGCCATAAAATGCAATTGCTGACTGTTTAAAAAGAAAACAGTCAGAAGACAACTGCACATTTTTTGTCTTCAATAATGTTGAGAGAAAATATGCAGATGGAATTGTTTGCAATTTACAAAACAAGAAGCAAACCTGATTTTTGTCTTCATAGGTGAGCAAACATTTCTGCACCTCATTGCTCGCTAGCAGCCCAACACAGAGTGACAACATTTCACACAGAGAGCTAACTTTGTCTTAGGCAATCTGATCACAGAGTTACTTGTAATTTTGTTTATTTCATCATATTAATTCAAAATATCTAAGTCAATTTCCATTTCGCCAGCAGAATGGTCACTAGGGGGCCGTCAGAAAGAGGCAACACTTTTCAGAGGATTTACAGCTGCCAGCTCCAGCTGCCCTTCATGCTAATCACCCCACTAATTAGGAGAAATGCTTCTGCCAGGAATCAGAGTCTACAGATATTTATAAGGTTATACACATAGATGTTGAGCATTTTAGCAGCTTAATATTTTTTCCCTACTGTCAGCTCTATTTCCCTCATGCTGTCACTCTCTAATCCTTCTCCAGGTGTGGTAGGATAAGAAAGGCTGTCTTAAGTGTTACATTTGGAGACACCCTCTGTTCGCAGACATGCAATGCAGTTTCTCACTCTCTCTGTCTCTCTCATGCTGAGTTATTTTTAGCATCTTCCTAAAGGATAGAGGCAGCACTGAAAACAGTCTTTGTGGTTCTCCACAGGGGGAGAGGGAGTGAGCTCGTGAGTCGTGACGCCCATGTGAATATTAATGGGCAAGTAAAAAGACAGAGAGCTCTTTTCCACTAGAGGACGTAAATTAATGTCGTCCTGCAATGAGGGCAGTGAGAATCAGCCATTAATTAATCAATAAAGCGTTAAAGGTTTCTGGAAGCCACTTGCAGTCTTAATAAGCACAAGGACACAGCGTGATTTCACATTGCATCATTGTATTTAATACTCTATTTGAATAGTCCAAAAACGTAGAAATCTAGTAACATACATAGCCTTAAAAATAAAAAAACACATATATACACAGTGTTACATACATACTGTCTGGCACCAGGAAGCCTCTACTGTATAGTCTTGGCTGAAAAGCTACATATACCATATGTATCCCTTAACATGTGACAGCTTCTGTCAGAAAGACAAAGATATTTTCACTTATTTCAAGGTATGCAAGCAAATGATGAAACATACAGTATGTTTATATGACACACTGTAATTTAGAATATGTCTTTGGGAGTTGACTTGCCTTTAGATTTCTCTAGATTTGAGCTGTGCATGAGCGGCACTGATTCAGTGGGGTTACTCCCTTAAAAAAGCGAAACATCAGAAGAACCATTTTTGGTTGACTAAAGATCCTTGGTTTCTCTTGAGTTTTTTCCAAGAACCACTGAATCTTTAGGGAACTAAAAGGCATCTTTCCAAACAGCCTTTTGGTGCCATTGTTTTCAAGAGTGCATTATAGCAAATATTCTACCAAGAAAGGTTCTTTGACTTGTGACTATAGTGGAACCCATTTTGGTGCTATACAGCAGCGGTTCTGAAACTGATCCTCAGACAGTCCACATTTTTGTTCTATTTTTATGTATGGGAGTTGAAATTGAGTAGAAATATGGACCATCTGGGGGTCCCAGAGGACTGGTTTGAGAACCAATGCAATATAGAACCATTTTGAAAAGGTTCTTTAAAGATCAGTATACAACACTTTCTCCAGCATAGGGAAGAACCTATGAGGAAAGACTTTTTAAAGAGGCTAAGCTCGAAATGTCAGGAAAAAAAACAGGATCAAGTGCATGTTCTAGTCCCTTCAGAAATGCAGAGTGTAAATTTTATGAGTCATGTTTACAGTTTACCATGTAGAATGTGTAATGTATGTGTGAGATGCAATGTCACATAATGCAGGATTCATGCAGGGCTTTCTGCTTATTTATATTCCAAGCATGCAGGGCTATTTCCGGATGCCTTTTTTTTATCAATGAACTCTCATGAAAGCCTCCCCTCCCTCATTCTGCCACTCTCATTTGCTCCCTCCCTTTCCCTTTGCCTCTCTCTATCTCTCTCTCTTTCTCTCGATGTCTTTCATTTGCCTCAGGACACAAAAGATAAGCTTGCCACACAGTAGAGAGTACATATATGAAGCATGCACGTGTGTGTGTTTGGTCTTTTCCTCCCGTCGAACACACGCACGGCTTCGGTGGAGCTCAGGTATCCCCGTCACTGCTCTCATGATGTCTGGTGCTACTGCTATTTTTGGAAACAGAATCAATGAGCTGGTATAAAACAATACTGACCATTTCCTCGTGATGTGTTCTTTTTTCTGGCACTACAACACTGGAAAGACCCCAGTGATAGCGGATAAGAAAATATCTAATGTAAAAAGACAGGCACTGAAAGAATAGATGCAAAATACAAAACAGTCTGCCATTTCTTTTCACAGGGATGAAAAATACCTCTTTCTAAAACATGTACAAAAGCTAAAGTAACCTACATCACCAGTACTTGAGGAACCAGAGATGTGACATCCAGATTTTGTTTGTTGTCCTACATTGCTGCATATTGTAAAATGACCATTTATCACAACATAGCAGGGCACTACTTTGATTGCCTATCAAGTCTATTGATACATTCATTTGTTCACAGAGGGTAAAATGACTCAGTATTCAGTGGCACAACAGAATGACTAAGTGCAAAGCGGCTAATAAGAGAGTAGTTTGTTTCCGTAACATATTGACTGTTAACGCTCTGATCTCCAAAGCTCACTGAGTCAGTGAGCTCAAGGCTAAGTTCAGCAGTGCAGAAAGACCTGCTAAGACCTGGAGCACCTTCTGTCTGTGACCAATCTTAGAGCTAAATAAGAACTCGCACAATACCTGAGTGCTTTCACGAATACTGTGCAGAAACACACATGCAAGCACATGAGAGAACGCTCATGCACGCACACATTTTTACCTTTTTCACAACACTACCAAAAATATACCTCTATCTCTGCAAGATATATCATCTATAACAACACATACTGACTTGCACCATTCTTAGTTACAAAACGTTCTTCTCCAAAGTCATGCAGATCACATTAGAGACTGACAGTTTTGATGACCAGACCAGTCCCGGTATGTTGTCTAATTCTGGGGGCACTCTTAAGACGTCCTGGGAAAGTCTTCTCAGGTGACTTTTCAGTCGTCTTACATGCTGCACCCTGCTAATCCACCTAATTATAGAAATAACCACATGGAGAAGCAGTTATGTCTTTCTGGGTGCTGAACCTACTGACCTCAATCTTCCTCACAGTCATTCCTCTTCTTCTACTGACTGAATTGACGGTCAGTTAATCTGGGAGGTGCTCCACCTCTTTGTGTCTCTATTATGGTAGAAACTAACATCCAGGCAGTGTGTAAAACAGTTTGAAGATTTCCCTCCATCACAGGAAGTGGAGTCTTCCACGCATCTTTGATCCTGACGTTCCTTTGGGAGCGATGTTCACAATGTGGAATAGACTTGCAGCATTATCAGGGACCTTGGAGACTGTGCTGTGCTGTTTTTTCATAATGAGGTTCAATAATGAGGGCAAACACATTACACTAACAGCATCCTCACAGTGCATGCCCTCACAAATTCAGTGCAAGGAGCTGCAGGACGTATTTCAGGGGCGTCCTATTTTCAAGCTGTTGTGAGTCACTGTTTATGCACAGAGCAGGAAAATCTCCATGTCCCAAAGGCCGTCAGTACAGTCTAGCTGTATGGTTTGAAACTTACCTTTCAAGGCTAAGTTCATGTTCCATCAATTTCCATCCAGCCAGTGCAAAGCAGAAGAAGGTCCTCCAAAATTTTGGGAAAACACTGATGGGTACACTTGAAAGTGTCTCATAGGGTCCCTTGCTCTGAGCAGAAGAACCCCCCTTCCTTCTTCTCCCTCCTCTTGGCCCTGTGGACTCTCCAGCATGCGGCTGCCACCAGCAGCATGACCAAGCCCACGGCCAACAGCACCAGGGACACCACCTTGGTCTGCAGCAGGGTGTTGAAGGTGAAGGTAACACCTGTGCCTGCCATGCCGATCACCAGGGAGATGACCCCGAAGGGAAAGACGCACCGGTACCACGACTTCTCCGTACCCCCAGTGGCTTGAGCCAGCCGCTCCAGTGTGGAGAGGTTCTCTGGGCTTTTTGGTGTGGGTGCCGTCCCATCCTGGGCCAGGCTGCAGTCAGGGTCCAGGGTGGGCAGCTGCGCAGGGGCTGGAGGCTGGCAGGGCAGGCGGCCGGACGAGCAGCCCATGTTAGAGCTGCAAGCCAGGGGAGCGTGGGACAGTGACGTAGCTTTTGGTCTTCAGACTGCCACAGCTGCTGCTGATGCTGCTTATAGTGAAGATCCCTCTGCTGATGGTCGTGCCTTATCGTGCCGTCTTTGTCAGGAGCACGCATTTGCCTGGAAGGGAGAAGAAATCCATGTCAGAGATAAAGAGTGAGAAACAAAAAAAGGGAATAGAGTCTAAGAAGTAGACAATGTAAAGAGATAGAGAGTAGAAGAGAACAGAGCGAGAGACATACAGAGGATATAAAGAGAGATAGAGAAAGAGAGTAGAAAGGAACAAAGAGCATGAGAGAGAGAGACAGACAATGTAGAAATAGAGAGAGAGAACAAGGGAGCCAGCTAGCGTCACAAGGAAGCTCACTCACGCGCTCCCTCTCTTCTCTTGCTGTGTGTTTGTGGTGATGGTGCGCGTGTGTGTGCTCTGCTAGAAGCAGCACGTTGTATGTTTTCTAGTTGAGACGAGTGGAGTATAAGGAGCCAAGGGGAGGGCGGAGCTAAAGAGAGAGGAGAAGCTTTAGTCACCTGATTGGCTGCTTTGCTACAGTGACATCACAAATGGTAGAGAGGGGGCTAAACATAAGAATATTGAGCAATGATGCTGATATCCACAGTGCCCACCACCTACACTCCCACAATATATGCCTTTCTCTTTCCCTGCATCACTCCTTCTCTTTTTGCAATTCTCAGTCCTGGCTCATTTTGTTAATGGAAAAAATCACTCACATGCCTCTGCAATGACACTCAATTTTGCTCGTGTCCGCACTCCTGTTTTGTCTGGCTTTGCTTTTGTGTGAGAGTGAAAGCAAATACTTCATCTTGAAAAGGTTGTAGCTTTCACTGCCTTTATGTAGTAATACAGTTGTTTTGAAAACCTTCTGCTATGTACTGTACTGTTACAAAGCCACTTGTATACAATGATAAGAACTAAAAAAATTGCTCACTGAATGAGGTTGTTCATGCAACCGATTAGGTAAAAAAAAGTGCAATTATTGCTAATTTGCATTTAATATTATCAGACAATCAGAAAGAAAGATTACTTGAATGTTAATCAGATAATCAGCAATATAATCAGCAATATGAGAAAACAATAAAGCCCTGTGTGATGCAGTTGCAGTTTTTTTTACACAAATATACATGCTATAGTTATTGGCACCAATCCAAAGGCAAGATAATAATAATGATAACTTGACACACATATGGCTTCCTTCAAAATGCATCTTCTTTGGTCTTTGGTTTACCCCACTTGTTTCTAAAGGATTTTAGATCAGCGCTTGTTAATTCTAGTCCCAGGAACCTGGCATTTTTTTGTGTTCTTGTGTTTTCTATGCTCTGATATAATGTGAAAAAAGGAAAAATTAACAAAAACAAAACAATCAACCATAGAAACAAAACCTACTCATAGGAAAGAAAAAACAAAAAAGAGATCTCCTTAATATCTGTGTAATTTCTCCCAGACCAGCAGTTCTCAAACCTTTCAGTCTAAGGTTCCCTTTGTGGATAGAAAGTGCCTCTGCACCCACCCTCGCCCTTGGTCATTAATTTTGCTTAACGAACAAGGACCATGCCACTTTTGCTAGCTATTGCTGAGCTGCACAACGAGACATGGCCTTGTTCTAAGACATCACAGATAACTCATTTAGTGGGTGAGGAACTGCCTTGAATTGTGATTGGTTGGCGCATATTTCATTTTCACAACATTAAATAAAAACTTTTAGATCTGGCCAATCAGTATGCAAAATAGCCCCTTGTGATCAGGGGGCTGGGGGGGGGGTCACTGTGTTTTAGTCAGAGCTACAAAAGCTATCTTCAATATAACCTCACATTGCTTGTGTTCAACATCTCAGTGTGCTGCTTCTCTCTATTGCGTCCTTTAAGTTTTTATAGGAACCACAGAAACATTTTATTGTGTGGCTTTAATTAATTAGGATTAGGAATTAGGAATTTCACACCTTGTAGCTAAAGCAGATTTAATAAACTGACCAATTTAAAACATACAAAGTAAAGATACAACGATTTTTTTCTGTGGCCGCCTTAGCGGCCCCCAGTTTGAGAACTGCTGTCTTAGACAACAATGTGATCAGATGAAAAGAGAAAGGAGATTTTTGCCAAAGTCTCCCACTGCCCAGATGTTTCTCCTGAGCAAAAGACCCCAGTAATCTCTCGTGTCTCCACTTAGGTTTAGTACAGAGCTCAATAAAGTCACACAAACTCAGATTTGCTGCAATAATAACACTCATGTTTATCTGCAGCTGAACGAAAGACATCATCCAAGACTAAGAGCCCTCTGAGTTTAGATGCAGTAAGTAACCATTATAATTTTATCTGAAGTCTCAAGTCTGCTTTTTGTCTAATGTTGTTTCTCCCAAGGATAATCACCATTAAGTGTCCAAAGCCATGAAAGAGCAACTTTTGGGCAATAAAACCTTCCTTTGGGATGATTAAAAGCTGGAGTGAACAAGTAAATTTTGGGTTGTTTAAAAGCTGTCAAGAGACGGATGCTTCTCCACTTTTCTTGCTCAGGAACAAATCAGTATTTTATGATCTTAAGATCTGGAATAGAGCCTTTCTGGCACCCTGTAATATATGAAAGCACAAAACCCATTATAGCTTTAAAAGGTAAAATAAGAAGCTCAGTTCTAAAAGAAACACTGTCCAATGATGCAAGAACATGTGCGATGTTCTCTCTTGTACTTGTATAATTAAGTATTACATCCTTTTGTTCAAGCTGTGATTTGTCAGTAGTCATTCACTAATACAGTAAATAGGGCACTGAAATAGTTTATTCGAGAGAAGTATGAATCATCTTCTGACTATTGTGCAAGGTGACAAAGATCTAATTTGGGCTATGTTCCTGAGCTGTCAAAAACACCTAAATTTTTAACTTCAGGCTTGGTCTCTTAAGGCAGATTTCTTTTATCACTTTAATACTTTATTCCCCAGTGTAAATGAAGTGAACTTCTGTCTTGTCTTCATTTAATTTTAGAAAGTTATTATTCACCTATTTTAATATATTGGAAAAGCAGACCAGAGCATTAGCAGCATCTGCATAACCATGGTAACTGATCCCTTCACCTCATGTTTTTGAGGTAACTAAGCTTTATTTTGGTCTCAGTAAACCTTAGAAACCTGTTCCAATCAAAGTTCCAGTGATAGTTAATAAACTCCACCTGCTTATGTTGGTGGGTTAATGAGACTAGAGGCCTTTTTTCCTGTAAGAATTCCAAATAGCTTCTCAGAATAGCTTGCTAGTACATCTTAGTGTACTTTGGGATACTTGATCACCCCAACATGTCCCCAGCATCTTTTTATCCTCAGAGAATTTGTTTGGCTCTTGAAGCATCCTCCATGTGGGGTCAAAATAGCTGCTCCCTATTCTCCAGTTGTTTCAAACCTCTTAATTATTGCTGCCATAGTAGAGGATATCTTTACATGTTGAGCTTTTTATAGTCAGACTTGACTAATTTAATTTATGTGTTCCCAGTATTCAAGACGAGCATGAGATCTGTATATGCACCACCTCATATTTATATCCAAGAATAAATGGAAATTTTACATGCATAAGAATGACACGCATTACTGGGAAAAGTAATTATCACTTGAAAATATTTCAAGCTTTCTCCTACACTCTGAATGCAAGATCAATTTGATAAACAATTTTAACCAGCATTAAAAAAACATAATGACAAAACTACTGTAAACTTACCATAGCAACCACATGGCATATACTGTATACTATGGAAGTTGTGCCACATACAGGCCAAATAAGCCTATGTGCATGTAATTGCAGAGCATATGTGTCTTTGACGAAAACAGATCTCACGTGTACACACGAGAAGGAACGTATTTCTATCCGAGCCAGTGCTTGCGCACTCTTCTTTCCTCAGTGACGTGAAACTGCAGTCCAAGCCGTGGGAGGCAGAGGAGGGAGAGGGCGGTAATCTGATAAGAATGTGAGGATACTTGTAATGGATATTCTGGGTGCCAGAAAGAGAAAGCGGGAGACAACAAGAGGGAGAAAGAAAGGAAGGGAGAGAGTGAGGGGGGGTGCTGACATTAACATTGATTGTGAGATTTATATTAGTTTCCAAGGATTTGCCTGCTATACAATTAAAAAAAGGTTCATTAATGATTTTGGCTTGGATGTAGGATTCTGAGAAAAACCTTTGATAAAGAACTCTAAAACCTATAGAACCATTGTAAACTTTAAAAAGGTTATTCACACTTACACATCTAATTTTCAACCATCTGTGGAAAGGTTCTACTAAAACCATTGGTACTTCTATGGCATCAACCCAAAGAACACTGAGGCAGAATGTAGAAAATGCCAACATTTAAAATGTCCATTTCATATTAAATGGATGAATTTTCCTCATTTTTTATATGAAAGAGTTTGATGTTGGATGTAAACATTGTTAACATTTCAAAACATGCTGTTCACTCCCTGGTTCATATGGTCCATATATGGAAAATAAGTTATAAAAACAGCCTGTTTTAATTCTTTGTTTATGTGATGTCACAAAAACTATGTACATATACCTGCCTATTTAGTGTTCATCAGTTCAGCCACACCCATTCAAATTGAAGTTATAAGGAGTGTTTCAGTCCAGATTGCTTTTTCTATGAGGCAGCTAATCAGAACAGAAGTCGTTTACATCTGTCTTAAAGTTATATTAGCAAGAACAGCCTTATTATTTCTAAGAGAAGTTGAAATGCTATTTAAAAAATGAATTATGACCATTTTTCATAGCTAATATGTGACAGTCACTCTACACTGGGGGAGTAGAGGAGTGGGCTCGAGGAAGCCATGGTGTGTAGTCTGTTTGGTCTTGTGGCCTTCATACATATTTGGGTGCAACAGGCTGATGTGCAACAGGCTGTCTTTGAGCACGAGTGACTGTCACATATTAGCTAAACAGCTAATGGAGTTAAGAACTAGTTTTGTTTTTAAACCTCCAACACTGCTGTAAATATGCAAATATCTTCTTTTCTGGGTCATCGACACTTAATAAATGACTGAGAGCACAGTTATTGAAGGGGAACCCAAAGCTTCTTTCCTGCTTGTAGCCTCACACTACTGGTGACATTGTGTCCCACTACATATGGGGATGACGGTGTACCACAACACAAATATCTGGCAGCTCTTTCAAAACTTCCTTTAGCCATTGTGAAAGAAGTGATTTGTCTATTAACGGTAATATATTCTCATTTGAGGTAACTGAGCAGTCTGCCTCAGACGGCAGACTTTTGCTGAGAAGCTAACGCTCCATATGTGGATGTTTTTAGCAGTCACTGTAATCACGTCATGTTGATACAAATAAAACATGGTAAAGTTAGTTTTTAGGCTAACTGCTTGGCTAAATGTTGATTAAAGCTGCCAGAGACATTTTTAGCCAAAACTCAGTGTGAACACAGTACACATATCCACGCCAACAGCCAGTCTGTTTTAGCCTGCAACTTG